TTTTTTTAAATGATTAAAATATATGCTCACTACGTTCGTTATACCAAAATATACATCAATTGTTAATATTATAGAAAGTAAATCTTTTTAAACATGACTCGTAACATATTCACATAGAACATTCTATCTTTTTTCTAGTATAAATACTTGATTTATTTTTATTGAGTTGTACAGATATAATATTTCATGAGTGGCGGTAGCCAGGAGTGAAGTATGATTATTTCAATACCATGAGGTAAAATAAATCCAGCATTAATTTGAATGAACTTGAATTGTTTATTTATTCTATACTTATAACATTTTTATACTTTTTTCTCTTTTTTGACCTAATAATTCGACATACTTCCCCTTTAATTTTGTGTATTAGCTAAATTTAGAAAAACTAGTCCGGCAAGATATCAGTGAAAATACGAGAAATATGTTTCATTGCAGTGGAAAATAAATTTTACAGAGAAAATACAGAAAATGAAAATAAGCATAATATTTCATTAATATTTCTCAATATTTCATTTATAGGTGCATTTGTATATATTTATTCTACTTTCTTAACAATTAAGGAAGACATAAATTGCATCAAAAGTCAGGAATCATTCATAGCATATATTTCACCTTTTCGCACGCACAGCTAATTTCAAACAGTAAATCTGTATGAATTCGAGATGAGGACAAACACGCAATAAGCATCAGAATATATTTCGATAAACAATCGTCAGCATTCTCCTCAGATGCAGACATAACAGTTTCATCATTTTGCATCTCAACGTAATAACTTATTTTAATTTGTTTATTCTATACTTTTTTGACCTAATAATTCGACATACTTCCCCTTTAATTTTGTGTATTGGCTAAATTTAGAAAAACTAGTCCGGCAAGATACAATGGATTTCAATATCATGCCATAACAGTTTCAACATTACAAAACTTTCGAATCGACTCTACGAATATCGACAGATATGCTTTGGAGTTCCAGTATCATTGTATCAAAAGCAATATATATTGCATTTGTGTTATATCTGAGGCCTTTCTAGTTGCAAAATGTAAAACGCAATGTATATCTGTTTCAACTAAATTTTCAATCTTGTCAGCACAAAAAAATGAACACATATGCATGTTTACATTAGAACACGTGTCAGCATAACAAATAAGTAATGAACTTGTTTTAATTGGAACACTTTCCAGCAGAATGATGTGCACATAAACATGATTACATTGAAATACTTATCAACGTAATGAATATGCACATTAGCATTCTTACATTTATTTGGTACATTTGTCGGAACAATAAATAAGCACACATTATACAAATATCGATCATCATAATGAAAATGCACATTAATAATCAAACATTAGCACATTTACCACATGAAACAAAGAATATAATTGGGCCGTGGTAAATATTTTGATTGAAAAGGACAAGTTTTGAATTTTTGCTATATGTGTAAATTTCTTTTATTTGGTTTAAAGAATTAAAGAATAACTAAGACTTTTCACGGCATAAAATTGTAATTTATTGTCACCATAAAATATTTACAAATAAATACATGTATTTTTTAACAATTTTTACAAATGTTTGCCAAATTATTGCTAGCTTACTTAAGGTATTATATGTATAAATGACAATGATACAAATGGCATCTACACCTTTCCATTTTCAAATTCTATCATGTTGTATCACTATCTTGTTTAAAACAATGACACTTTCTAAGTCATGTATAAAATACAACTACTGTACATCAATTATTTTTTATCAGTTAAAGAAGAATTTTTATTTATCTTCACTATACCTTAAATTTGAAAGAAAGAACCATAGTAATGAAGAAACAACAAACAAAACAGCATATATGAAAAGGAAAAGCGTTTGGAAAAACTGTAACAGATATAGATCTGTAAGGTTTTGATATGAAAGAAAAAGGTGGATTCACAAAATCCTTTAGTCTGCCATTTTTTCATAAATGTGATCGCTGTATTTTCAATTATAATTATTTACTAGATTAAGTTGATCATGCATATTTGAATATTCTATAAATTTATGTTGTTAAGCTACTATTTATCAACATTATATTTAACCAATACAAACTCTTCTAACATTTTACTTGATTCACAGGGTTTATCTATAATCCCGTTGACTGAGTACTTAACAATTTTAACAGCGGTACATATATAATTCTTAATCTCAATGTTTCAAATACATATGTTTACAAGTATTTAGTTAGAAAGATTGGATAAATAATTGTCATTTATTTTAATGACAAAATACATACAAACTCATTAACTACAAGTGATTGTAATTTTTACTGTAATTTTACAGGTATGTCATCATTATCAACGAATATCCATAACTTATGCGGTGAAGCAAAAAAAAAATCTCTAAAAGAAAGCATAACAAAACATTGTGTGCAAAGTAAAAAGAAAACTTAGTGTTTGAAAATATATTTGTCGAATAGGATAACAGTATTTCAAAAGAATCGTAACACATTTACTTCGGTAAATCAGCAAACTGTTAATCAGTCTAATAAATCAAATGTTTATAAAAATAATTTAAAATACTGGTTAAAATTTATAAGTACGTATAAGTGCGCCCCTGACCAATCTGAGTTTGTTAATTATAATTATTTAAAATCTTTAAGCTATACATAGTTTATAAGCAGAGAACAATTAATCCGTAAATATAAATATATATACAATGATTGAAAATGACAAAAATACCAACCCATAAATAGCTCAACTTGAACAATTATCTATCTCAAAACACTTCATTTTCGATGCGATGACAATAACAGTAACCTTTATGTATTCATTCTTTATTCATACAAATGTCAGAAAAATCTACTTCATATCAGATAATTGCAAAATTAATTATCCCAATGAAAACATTCAAATTAATTTATACTAACTATCGCAGAACTGCAAAGAAATATTCTAATGATTTTAAACTGTAATCAGATACTTCAATTACGTAAATAATGAAGGTCTTGTTAATAGCATGATATTCGCAACTCTTAAAAAGCACCACCACCTGAATGAAATTGAATTGTGCTAATATTTAAACAAAAAGTTTACTAGTTCGACACATTGAAAAACATAAGTGATAAGAACATACTTGTATCGCAAATACATACTAATTCGTGCAATCTGTGCAAAAGATACAAAATTAAAATTAAACAAAGTACGCAAAACTAGCATGGATAACAACCCTTATTCGTAAATACAACAAAGACTAACATTTTTTTATTCTAATTGAAAATATTTAACAAATAAAACCTCACACATAGTTACCGCAAATAGAAATCGGGTATAACTACTATGAATCAATGAAGCATGTTAATCTAGACTGTTAAAGATATGCTGATTACATAAAATGATTTAAGAAATTGAGGAAATTAAGATGTAGGAAAGAAATCATTTTAGTTGTGTGAAATAGCACAACAAAGATCCACAATGCTCATTCATTCTGTGTTTTTCAAGTTCTACATATTATTTCAGTGTTCGTATTTGAGATACCAAATGTTCTCCATCCTTTTGATAATATCATCTATGTTTCAGATTGTGTACTTAGAAGCATAAAATGATCAAATTCGATTTTTATATTTTCTTATAGGAATATTAAATATTCAAAGGTTTGATTAAGGATAATGTTTTCCCTTTATTTCTTTTTGTTCAAACAAATGTTTTGTATAGACACACAGTTATCATGTTCTATTTAAAAATATTTTGCTATCTCATTTCAAACCTTTTTATCTGCTTAACAGATGACCAATATTTTTGACACTTCACTGCGTGATAACTTAACTTTGCCGGTCTTTCTCTTTCTTTACATATACACACTGTTTTTGTCTTAAAACAATATATTGGCCTTAATGTCTTAAATATAACAATAAATAAAAATATTATGAATTACAGTCAACAAATAAATTTAAATAATTCAAACTATATCTTATGATGAAATCAAAAGCATTTTACAGGTATATTATCGGTAATCCATTTGTGTCTATTCCAATACGTTATTATACAACAGAAATTTTCTTTCTTTACTATCTAACATCGTAATCTAGTTAATATTACTATACAATATAATTCTCAAAAAAACTCTAAAAACGCATGCCGTCATGTTGAAACCAGTATTTACAAAATCTATTATCTACACTTGTGATCACACCCTGTTTTAACTTTGAACATCTACTTGTACTATCTCATGAAACAAAATTTAAATTTCGTGCTTTTTAATCTCATTTTTGAGTATGATAAAAACAAGGTCTAGCTGTTTTGATATACGTGACAAATAGAAAAGCGCTGTTTCTGTTTTCTTAATCTAGACTCCAGTAAGTTGATTTCTTATACGCTGATAAGAATAGTTTCGTTTCTAAATCTTCGATTGTGTTGTGTCTAAAATGGCACGAATTATTAATAAAACGGGTGTATCATGTTTCAGAAAGCACTACGAAAATATCAACTAAATGATCTACCTTACTTCTATATAATATTTTTAAAGGGACTTCACTAAAGGTTTTGACATGACTGGTATTGTTTTCCTAGATTTTAGTGCCATTGGTTGTAGGTCTTGACTTATCACTTGTGTGCAAATTTTGAGATCATTTCGTTACCCAATTTTTCAGAATATTGTAGAAGATTTTGTTTTTTCAAAAAGATATAAAATAAAAATGATGCAACGTTATTCACCATCGAGGTAAGAATCGCAAAGAAAATCAATAATCAATTTAATTATGAATACATTTCTTCATTATTATTCTTTGCTGATATTTTTTTTCCATTTTATGTGCTTGAATTGATCTATGTAAGAACTTCAAATTTTAGGTTTTAGATAATTTTATTTTGACCTCAGTGGAGCTCCTTAATCTGTTTTAAAATGTTTATCAATATATTAGGACATTCAATGATAAAAGTTCACCTTATAATTACATTATTCTACTTGCAATAACTGCTTTGTTTTCTTAGATACTAAATATAGTAAATTTGCATGATGAAAGACATGATGTTGAGTTCTATGGACATGCCTGTAGAGCATTCAAGATATAGGTTTTAATAGTTTCCGAGGATGATGAGCAATTTGCTCGAAAGGTCACAATATTCGATACATTCCACTGTTTTAAATATGACATATCGTCACAAGTACAATCAATCGGCATTCCGCTGAGATAAAAATGCCGCATTGATGTGAGATTTGTTACTGCAACAGGTACATGGTCAAGATTTGTATGTTCTAAACTTATTTTTCTGAGATAAGAATTAAGGTTGAATGCATTTGGTGATATATATGTGATAGGATTGTAACCAATAGTTAAGGAAGTTAAAGAAGTTAGTCCTGCTATATCTGGTGTTTCAATTGTCGTTATATGATTTTCCAAAATGTTAATTGTTGATAATGATTTCAACTTGTTCAACGCATAGGGTATTCTTTCAAAATGGTTAAGTTGCAAACTGAAGGAGGTAAGTTTTGAGTTACTTGGGACCTTAGTGTTCTCTATATATTGAAGTTTATTATTATATAGAGATACTGATGTTAGTGATGGAAACAAAGAAAAAATATCTGGAAAAATATGGAGGTTATTCGAATCTAATTTTAAGATTAATACAGAAGTCAGTTTTTTACTACACGGCTCTAAAATTGAGGATTTATTCTGCTCTAGGTTGCTATTATAACTAAACTCAAACGACAATAGATGACTGAGATAACATATTGCAAAGGGCACCTTTTCAAGTTTAGATTCAATAACGTAAAGGTAATTCAATGTCTGTTCAAATCCATGAAAGGCATGAATGTCTAAATGCGAAAAGGGTATGTGAGTTACAGACAATGAATGCAACACTCGAAGGAAATGAAGTTCATGTGGCCATTCTGTAAAATGATTGAGGTCTATGCTAAGTGAAGTTAAACTTCTGCCTATATTTGACATAACTGATTCATCAAGTGAATGCAAAGGGTTATCAAGAATATTAAGACTTCTTAGTTTGAAAAGATTTCCTATTGCCAAGGGTAAAGTTGTTAGATTGTTGCTTTGCAGATGAAGACTTGTTGTTGTATTTTCAATCCCACTAAATGCATTTGTTTCAATTGTCTTTATCTTATTACCATCAAGTCGTAAATCTATTTCTGATGCGTTGATTGAACTAAAATTTCTAAATGCATTATTGAAAATAATGCTCAACTTATTTGTATAAAAATACAGATATAACTTATTAACATGATAACTTGATTGTTTAAAAGTAGGGATGCTCGATAAACTTTTACTGTCACATCTTATGTAGCTGCTTCCAGAACTTCCGGAACACGTGCAAGGTGACGACACTGGACAATTATCGACGAGAAGAAACGCTGAAGGTGACTCAAGAAATGCTGCAAGCAATATGATCGAAATCTGAAAAGAATATCACATCTAATGTCATGTACAGAGGCAGACAATGTTGATCTAAAATGAGGTTATATGTTTTGTTCGCTGTCAAGTTGGGTTGACTAAGTAATACATTTCAAAAGACCATAACAGCGATTGATCAATGATTTATGATGAATCATGTTAATGATACATTATGATACAATAAAAGATTTTAAAAAATGCCCCAATCTCTTTGAGAATAAAACATTCTTGAAGATATCTAGAAATTTTCGTTGGTCATGTGGATTATAAATTATGTTTCTAAAGTAAAATATAACCTTGAACACAGTCATGGCAAAATATCACGTTACTTTGATTTTAAAATGATCACTGACTACTAACTTTTGGATTGGCATAATGACAATTTAATTATCATCTTATTTTGCTAATAACATTAAAATATTATTTTTTAAATTGATGCCAAATAAATATATTCACACCCAAATGTAACTTAAACAAATATTTTAATTAGCATTATCATAAACACAACTACATGTAAAAGTATTTAACCATTCAAACTCGATATTACTATAGTATCTATATATATCCCTACACATTAACCCTGTTACGGGAAGTTCATCGTTTTAATCGGGCTCTAGTGTTTTACAATTACTGTAGCATTACATGTACGATGGCTGTCCCATTACGTCATACACAATATCGTTTGAATACAAAATACTTAAAGGGCTTCTACAAAACTTTTACGATATTTGCTTTGCAACTGCGGAGTAATCATACAATATTATAGCACATTATATTTGAATTTGACTACACAGAACAAAAAATGAAACTATCTCGCGACGCAATGCCGCCCATGCTCCAACGTCATAATTACATTTATTATATTTAAATTATAATAACATTATGTTAATTATGTCAATTTTTCTCCTAATAAAAGTATCATCTCTCTGAAGAGTCAATTTTGATGTCAAGCCACCTACTTATAGAGACATTCACAAATTGTCTTTTGAAATAATCGACACAGTCAATTTAATATAGTTTGAAATTTCTAAATAACTGCAAATTGTTTACTATATAATATTTTTATTTTTATTATATATATTACATATCATCTTCGCATTTTTTTTATTTATTTTTTTTTTTTTTTGGGGGGGGGGGTTGTTTTTCTTTGTGTTTTTTTGGTGTGTGTTTTTTCGTTACCTCTTACATATTTCATAGATACTTGTGTACCAACGATCACAAAATATTGTGTTACTTTTTCACAGTTTTTTCCTTTATTTTAACATGACGGTAGGTATCAATTAAGACTAAAATCAGAAATTGATAATCATCTGCTGAGACGCGTCAGCGTCAGATTGCTTATATGAGCACAGTATGAAGTAAACAGTAACACTAAATATTCTATGTTTTACGATTTTGGACCTTTGTCAAATAGCGTCAGACATACAGTAAATGTCAACGTCATAACAGTGCGGCATCAAATTCTTACCTTGTTCGAAATGAATTGTTTAGGTTTGTAAAATGATAATTTTTGGCGTGGGCCACGTACTCACACCTCAGGTCTGTATTGTTGCGTTCATATTTAGCGTTTGTTTACTGACTTGAACTATTGTTTCTTATTTTACTTCAAATGGATGGCGATACACTTGTGCATAATTATTTTAGGCTCGGGCGTTATATTATTTATTTACAGCAATTGTCAAAGACTTTGAGGGGCAGTCCTCATAGCACCGATATGTGTTTTATGCCTACACGCCTGAGTTTCATACTTTCAAAATAAACAAGACATGTCCTAGCACTTCACGTTTTTCGCATTGAATCTGGGCATCATGCATATCCACGCAGCAGATAATAAATATAACCGTACATCCTACTTACAATTATGGTTATCCTCATTTTGATTGCGCCTACGGTCATATAAAGTTCACCTCTAGTATCTAGTACCTAAAATGAAAAGATGATATGCATTTAAAATAAAGCAATTTTTAGCTATCAATAGAAGTCAATTGTAGTAAACTAAAACAAAATGTTACATGTTTTAAAAATGTAGATATTAAACATACCGCATTTTCCCTTTAATTATTTAAACAGTTTAGGAACTACATGTCATAGATTTATGAAGTAAGCCTTACCTTATTAGCTGTAGATGAAACAGAAGCGAGGTAAAGTCTTCAAAATACAAGCAATTGTCCAGCTCTCGGACTATTACATTTTGTGTTATAGATGATAAGACGATCCCAGTCAAGACAGGTTTGATAATGTCGTGTCAGCATATGACCTATCATTCTTAACAGGTAACATTGGTTATCAGTGTGATGACCGAAATATGACAATTACAACGTCCTTGGGAAAAGTAGGACTGATGATTGAATATGATATAAATGATTGATATTTCATATAATCCTTAACTAGGCGAATGAAAAAAACAAACTATTTATAAGTAAATATACATCTTTACTTAATTTTGAACACTAAAAAATGGTGGAATCAATAATCCCGATGGACCAGAAAAAATATAACAACACTGAAGTGAAGTTAGGGGCATTTTTTACAGCTACCACAAAGATCTTTACACCTGCTGTTGTGAAGTATAAAATCTGGATAAAGTGTGATCCCTCGGAAGCATTAATCCAAACAAAATTACATGAAAATTGCAGACTCGATTTGATTGGGATTGAGTCTTTACATGAATGCAACATTCCTCCCGTCTCCTAGCACCGGCTAGAGCGATTCTCAATTTTCAACACTTAAGAAATCAATAATCCCGAAGAAAATATAACAACACTGAACCTTAACGTCATCAATGTCACTTTATGCGTAATTTTGTATTTCATCACATATCATTTTATATGAGGAAAGCTCTAGAGTTATTTATTTACATCCTGTATAAATTTTATGGCAGATCATATACTTGTTTACAATAACTTTTACTAAACCATGTCAAGAGAGTTAACTCAGTGTAAGTACAAACTTGTGCTTGTCTAACATAGAGAGAAAATACTGAAGCCAAAAACTGCAAGACTGAGAATATTGCAAGTTCGGTTTAATTTAGCACGCACCTTGGCACTGGCTTAAGCATTAATTAACATTTCAAAATATAAATTTGAAAATGAAAATCGCCACGTACGACGATTATTATGGAACATTCAATGTGACATTGTGTTCCATTCTGTAAAAAATGGTATGTAGCCCAACAAGTAAAAGAATGAGTGTGCCCTAAACAAGAAAACAATGGGCGGAACTAAACAAAATGGAATTCTTTAAGGGGCTCAGAGGTTATGAAGCCAGAGTATCACAGCTGAGACGCCAAAAGACAATTTGTAAAGCATGCAACATATCCTAAGGGTAATTATAAAGTATTCATTTAGGAATACTGAAAACACATAACTAGAAAAAGATAAAATAAAAGTAACTTAAAATACCACAAACAAAAATATTATGATGTGCTGAAAGATCTTAAGGATAAAAAAGTACATCCTTGACTGAATGCACGGGCAAGTTTTTAACGATTTTTAAACCAATAAAGACCATCTTTACCGATATAAGGAGCTGTATGTTTTCATGCAACCGTTTACAATATATCAACAAATTATTATTATTATTATTATTATTATTATTATTATTATTATCCATTTTGTGTGTGAGTGTTTTTTGTTGTTGATTTTTGTGCTTTTTTGTTATCGTCTTAGGGAATAAAGTCATCGTTAATGTCGCATGGTGTGTTTTCAATTTAACTGGGGATAACATCTGTAATATATATCTAATCTTAATAAACAGAATATCCAAACAATCGACTCAATCGACCATCCTATGTGTTAAAGAGAGAAGTTGTCTCACACTAAATGTCTTGGTGATAATTTTATCACACTAATCAATAAGTTTATTGGAACATGCATATAAAATGGAAGACTCAATAATTGATCAATGGAACTCTGTTTTGTTGTTGTTGTTGTTGTTGCTGCTGCTGCGATGTTAACACTTTTTGATAAAGGATAGTCCTAAGGTATTTGTAATTCCTTATAAAATCTTGACTTTATTTCATTTTAAAACTTCTCTATCATGACGCACGAGTAGACAATTTACATGTATCTCATAGAAAAGAATTGATGTCACGTTTTCCTGTCTACAGATTAAACTTTTACGATCATGTATAGTTTGATAGATGGTCTAATTTTTTCACTTTATATTCAGTGTTGTTAGTTAAGCAAGTACATATGTACTGTTCAGCCTTTAATATTTTAATCAAAAATAAAAACTTAGAAAAGCATGGCAGAGCAATGCATAAGTTGACTTTTATTCACTTTTCCTTCAGAATCAAATGGATTGTAATAATACAAATTACTCTTTGCTTTTTAAGTATCGATTTGTATGATGAACAAACAATACACTAAGACATTGACTTCTTACATTAGGAATATATGTGGCGATGTCAGTTGTTTTTTTGTTTTTTTTGGAATTGTCGAAATGTACGGAGGGGCAAGAAAATATACTATGTTACATAACTGTATATTGCGTTCTAGTTATATTTAATAACGTGAGTTTAAATTGAATGCATGTGCATTGTTGAAAGCCGTCTGTGAACGGTTTGACTGAATATAAGTATAACTTTTGTTGGACATTAATCCTTCCTCCTAATGAGCGCTTCAATGATGCGTGTAGAGACGCCTTTTACTACTATTCCGTGCAAGCGTTTGACGTAAAACAAATACGTACTCACGGTGCGTTATGATAAATTGTGGAAATTTCATATTACTTAATCTCAAAAAATTAGCTAGTATATAAAAATATACCCCACCATTTACAAACATTAAATGACACGGTCACAATTTAAAGGTTATTAAGCTCTGTATAAATTCTGCGCTCCTAGAGATATTGTATCCGTCTGATTTGAACATATAATAAACGAAAGGAATATATTCAAAAGTAAATGGAAAATATGGTATTGAATCACACGTAAAACACGATATGTATGCTTTAATTCAAGTGTATATTTATAAATATGTTTTCTTGACGCTTCTGTGCCTAATATTTTCATAGTTTAATTAAAGGCAATTGACCACTAAATTCATTAGCGTTTATGTACAAATTGAATTTCAAACTCTGCAGGTTTTTTGTGTAAAGTAAAACGTTACATTTAATTTGAAACTGTCTCTGTTTGTGGAAGAGAAAATGATAAATATCGCAGGCGTGATTTGATAAAGATAATGCTATATGTTTCAAGAATAAATAACACCTTGATTAGGTTTTTAAACACAGATATTTGTAGCACACAATATTTTATCATAAAAACATAAACATACAAAGCTTCTCGTAAACCAGATATTTGCGATTTTAGTGTATTTTAAAGAACATTAATCAAACAAAGGTGTTTTCTGAAAAGAACATTTCTATTTCAAATATTTATTTACATCATGATAGCAAAACCTGCAACATTACTTTGGAACCATAACAAGATCAATTGTGCCGCTTGACCTTTCAAATCTACGGCATTTGAAAATTGTTTTCAAATATTTGTTCCATACAAATGACAAGTCCCATACATAAATTGATTTCTTATCGCATTAACGGACATTTTAACCTTAATTAGGCATTGCAGTACGCTACATATACATCAAATACTAGTATTCAGAAACCTTATGCCTATTTCACAGGGGTGATTGTTCATATCAAATGTCAATTTCTTTTAAGTGTCTGCTATCTTTGATAAGGTTACAAGTTCATATGTGTCAGTACAAGACATTATCGGACAATATTCATATCTAATAATAAACTTAGTAATACATTGAGTTTACTTGTAGTGTTACTTTAAAACAGATATGTTCCTAAAAGATAAAAGCTTACGAAAAAAACAATTTACAAAAACAATATACCAATGGTCAAATAATTGACACTCTTTGTCAGAGTTAATTATATTTTTTAAGTAAAGTGTCCATTGAAAGTTTTCCTAACGCTCTTATAATGTCTGCACATAATAAATTGTTTTCTTGTTAAAACTCTTTGGATACTATTCTGTTGAAACACGTCATTGAAAATGTACATCCTAAAATTAACTTTTGACTAAGGTCTGTATTCCCTGGTCAAATAAGAGATATATAGTTCCAATCTAGGCAAACATGATTCCGACAATTTGAATGTATGTACTTTCTTAAAACATTGCTTGTGCGCAATATTTATTTCATTATAAACTTACTTCCCAGACAGATACTCATCTGCGCTTATAAACTCTTTCAGTTATTGCAATAGTCAGCTTATAAAAACCTGACTTCACCATAAGATGGTCATTGGCATTTTCTGGCGCAGTTCTTGTGCAATCATTAAACCTTGGAAATAGCACTTCGAAAAGTTTACATATATTATTTTGCAGTAAGTGTATATACGAGTATATATACTTTACTAGATAATAATTGAAAAAAATTGCTTACGATGTTTTATAACGTTTTTTTACCAATTGCTAAATACATGTACTTAAACTAAAGGGTTATTAATGAATTTGGCAGATCATATTGTAAGGGATCTAATAGTTGGATTGCCTGAGTAGAATCAACGACGTTTAAAGTGTTAGTGCGTCGTCCCCCACACAGCTCTCAATAAGCGCCAACTTTATATGGGCAGACAAAGCATAAAACGAGCACAGTGTGAATAATTAAGTCAATTTTCCGACAACCAGTGGTTGGTTCTTTTGCTTTTTTCTTGCATATAACACATTAATCATTATTCAGAAAGATATAATTTAAACTAATATTTTGTTTAGCACTTTTTTTCTTATAGAAGCGTATGAATTTACAACTTCATTCATAACGGCAAAATAATTTCATTCAAAGAATGCAATTTATTTAAACATGGCGCGTGGGAATGACGTCATTTGAACTACGCGGGTTGTCTTACATATGGGGGCGTAATTTTTTCTAGCATCATTGTAAAACGGTAGATGACCATGTCTAATATGCAAGAAAACAGAAATGTATCATAAGTATATTTTTATAAATATTTAAAAGCACAAAATGTTAAAAATATGGTGGCTGATTTGGGCTCTGTAGTCTTTTTGTCTATAATTATCATTTTGTCTGATTTTCGTGTTTTCGATTGTGGCCCCGCAACGCGAAAGTGCGTCAATTTGTCATTTTGTCATATTTTCTGCCTTCGTCAGGCGCCCGAAGTAGCTAAAGATGAAAACATGAAAATACAACAAACGTATTTTCATGTTTCATCTGGCCCCGCGGAGCAAAATTACGACATGGTAAAACTCAGCCACCATATAATAGAGATCACAATTTCGTATGAGCATTTAAATAATGAAAAATAATTTTTTTTCTCGAACAATTGCTTATCTGCTATATAAACAATGTAATATCCGAGTATATATCTTACATTCTCCAACAATACTAATATATCATTTGTTTATGGTATATTGTCACATATCATACTAAGTACATAAGTAATAAACCAATTCACCTTAACAGAAAACAATATATTATACATAATATTATAATAATGATAAAATGAATACTGAACAAAACCACTACACAAAGGTGTATTTTGCATACAAGGACAATAGCAAATATTTGAACATGTATTTAACGATTAACATTTTTGATAAGTGTATAGATACTTGACACAAATTAATCACATGATGTTGCTTATTTCAAAGTTATTGAATTATTATGTACTACAATTTACAGTAAATATTTCATATAAAAACGATCAGCTAAACAGTGTATTAGACGCTTCCATATGATAATCTTACCATGTCATATACACATAAAACAAACTCAATCTAGAATGGGAATGCCTCGCTTAAAATTCGTTTTAATACACATAAATAGATTCGTTTTGTATCAGTATCTATTTTAGATTCTGTGTTTATCATCAACATAAACATCGTGATATTTTACCTCATTCGCATTTCCTAAGATTTGTTAAAAACCCTTTATAATGCCATAATATCGAAATCTATTCAAATACCATTAGATTGAACAATATTCAAATGCCATATCATCGTATTTTACTGGTGCTTAACTAATTGACAATATTAGAAAAGTTGTTTAAGATTTGAATAACTGATAATTTTACATAATGTATAATAACATTTCTGTTCAAATGTTAATATCTATCAATGTATATATAAATATAATGTTAAATCAAAATCCTCCACAAAGTGCACTTAACTTTAATTTTTATGATAATTAATAATACATTATAATGAATCAATAAAACAGACCCGTTCCAGAATCATTTAGAAAAAAAACAACTAATTCTTCACACCAGCTTAGTTTTAGCATAAACTTCATTAACGAACATAATATGTTTATATCGTAACACTTACTTAGTGCTAGTGTAATTTTTAAAGCTGCAAAACGAATCTGAATTCAAAACAAATTAAAGTTTAAAGATACATGTATACACTTTGAAAATTTGAAACTGGTGATTTTAATGTTCATTGTTATTTCATATTTAGGGGTTGTTTTTTTTGTAAATTATAGCAAAACCATAATCAGACTGGAGATTAAAACTCTTTCTTAACGTTACTTAAACGGAAATTGGAAGTAATCCGAATAAAATATAGGGTCTATGGACATGTTTGTAGAGAAGTCATGATGAAGTGTTTGATAGTTTCAGATGACGATGCACACTTTGTACGAAAGATCGAAACAGCTGATACATTCCAGGATTTCAAATATGACATGTCACAACTGCAGTCAATTTGCCTTCCATTCAGATAAAAGGAATAAAGTTTTGTCAGGTTGGTGACAGCAATAGGTACATGATCCAGATGTGTATCATCTAGATTTAGATAATGTAAATTAACATTATGCTTAAATGCGTTTGTATCTATATACGTAATTGGATTACCTTGAATTCTTAAAGAACCTAAAGAACTCAAACCTGCTACATCAGGTGTTTCAATTGTCATTATCTTATTGTTGTTAAGATACAATGTCTGCAAGAACTTAAACCTGTTCAATGCGTATGGTATCCTTTCTAAAAGATTACGTTGCAAATACATAGTAGTAAGTTTCGAGTGAAAGGGAATTTTACTGATATCTACGTATTGAAGCTTATTATCATTAAGAGATAATGATGTTATTGATGGGAATAGGTTGAAAACATCTGGTAACATATGGAGGTTATTTGAATCTAGGTTTAAGCGTGTCAAAGAAGACAGTTTCTTACCACATGGCTTGTAAATAGACGACTTGTTTTCCTGAAGGTTATTATCATATCTAAATGTCAATGACGAAAGGTGACTGAGATGACATACATCATAAGGCACTTTCTCGAGTTTAGAGTAACCAAGAGTTAGGTATGTCAGCGTATTTTCAAATCCGTGGAAAGCATTTATGTCTAAATGCGGAAACGGTATGTGGTTTACGGCCAATGCCTGCAACACTCGAAGGTAATGCAGTTCCTGTGGCCATTCCGTGAAACGATTTAAATCTAAACTAAATGAAGTCAGACTTCTACCTATATTTGACATTGATGATGTATCAACTTATCAAGAGAATGTAAAGGATTTCCCAGAACATTTAGAGTTCTAAGATTAAACAGATTTAGGATTGCCGACGGTAAAATTGTTAAATTATTATTGTGCAGGTCAAGACTTGTGGTAGTATTTGCTATTCCATTAAACGCATTGCTTTCAATTGAGTGTATCATATTACTATACAATTGTAAATCTATTTCTGAAGCGTTGATTGAGCTAAAATTTCTGAATGCATTATTTTGAATAACGCTTATTTTGTTTGAATAAAAATACAAATATAACTTGTTCACATGAGAACTAGATTGTTTGATATTAGGAATGTTCGTTAAACTTTTACTGCCACACCTAATGTAGCTGTAACTTCCGGAACTACCAGAGCACGTGCAAGGTGATGACACTGGACAGTTGTCAACGAGAAGAAACGCCGAGGATAACCCCAGGAAGGCAGTAACCAATATAATCTGATTCTGAAATTCATTTTAAAGTTATTTAATTATTTAAATATTCTAGGACTATTAAATATGGAAGAATTTAGGTAAAGATTCTATTCATGTTAAATTACTTATTCTTGCAGGTAAAATACATTGATACAAATTTAAATAATATTCTTATATTCTTTGTCCCAGTTTCTTATTTCTATGTCCAATTTTCTTTTGCGTTTGTATGGAAAAGATAATAAAATAGTAAAAAATATATGATTTGTAACACAAATTCTGAACGCAACATTCATTATACATATTTTGTTAGTTTGAATTGTTAATGCTGATGTTTTATTTTTTACGCCGTAATTCCTTCTCTATGTCCTAATTTGATAATCACTAACTGGAAATATTAATTTACCATTGTATCCATGTAATGTACAGACAAGAATAATTAATTTACACGAATGGATTTTACTTTACAACGTTAGCATACGTCATTTACATATATGGATTTTAATTTACAAGCAGAAATAAGTAATTTACATGCGTGGATTTTGTCTTTAAATACCCTTCCATATTTAAATGGCAAAAAAACCAAAACTGATGTTTTTCTAACTCAACATGACTTTTACATTATATAATTGATCTACTAATATCTTATAATGAAACAAAACACGTCTTGAGACATTTTAACACTATCACTCATATAACAAAATACAAATGAATGTAATTAAAATCATGTTTTACTTTATAAAGGTGTATTACAGTCATCGGCTTTTATATTTTTTATTTGAATCACATGTTCTTATTATATTCATAATAAAAGCCGATCATTCCGAACTGTATGAAGGTGCTTGATTATTAATTAATCCGTGGTACAATGAAAAGCGAACTTTCAAATGAAACAAGCAATTATCATAGTATTGCAAGCAATCCATAAGTCCCCTACCGGTTAGAACCCCAGCAACTTTCTGATGGGCCATTGGCCAGTCAATTTTACCAGTGAATGAATGACATGAATGAACTTAAATCTTTTGAGTTCTAAGTTTGTCTATATCACAGTAATGTGTTAAGTTTCCCTGCCTAGTAAGGAAATTATGTTTATACAACCTTGTCATATTATTACGATGTGGGATTTTAAAGTAAATCCTATAATGAATGAAGAAGTTGGAGTGAAAAATACCAATTTCTCGAAAAAAATCTAAGTTCAAGGGGGACATAATTCTGGAAATAGTCTTGCTAGAGTATTTAACCTTCTCAAAAATGTTGAGTGATAATAAGAAACATATATATGAAGTTTGAAGTAGATACATTAGGAAATAAAGAAGTTATTTAAAAAAGACAACATTTTTTCATAAAAATTCTAAGTTCAAGGGAGGTAATACTGATAATTTTTGTGCTAGAGTTGTAAACCTTGTCACATATGATGTGGTTGATGACCAGAAACTTATATTTAAAGTTTGAAGTAAACACCTTAAGAAATAAAGAATTTATAGTGAAAAAGCTGAAAAATTTAAATCAGAAATCTTGAAATTCAGGCTATTTGTTGCCATAGCAACCAGAATTTTCAACATAGGAAGAAAAAAAAAAGACGTGCATAATCTCCATACTGCCATTTATCCATATATCAAGTTTCATAAAAATATTTTCAGTACTTTTTGCGTTATCGCGGGATCCAGTTTATGTGTTCAATTTGCCATATTTTCAGGCTATTTGTTGCCATAGCAACCAGAATTTTCCACATAGGAAGAAAAAAAAAAGACGTGCATAATCTCCATACTGCCATCTATCCATATATCAAGTTTCATAAAAATATTTTCAGTACTTTTTGCGTTATCGCGGGATCCAGTTTATGTGTTCAATTTGCCATATTTTCAGGCTATTTGTTGCCATAGCAACCAGAATTTTCAACAAAGGAAGAAAAAAAAAAGACGTGCATAATCTCCATACTGCCATCTATCCATATATCAAGTTTCATTAAAATATTTTCAGTACATTTTGCGTTATCGCGGGATCCAGTTTTGTGGACGGACGGACTGACGGACTGACAGACGGACAGACAGACAGACAGACGGACAGACGGACGGAGGGTAAACCTAAAGTCCCCTCCGGTTAAACCGGTAGGGGACTAATAACCTTTTCCGTCAATAAATCGCGCTCTTCGGCTTTTTTTATTTACACAGTGGGTTATTATGGTATGTTATTGTTGTACATTTATCCGAAAGCTGTAAATAGAATGATGAGTTGATGACCTAAATATTCCGAAAATCTATTTATAGAGGGATGTGCTCCTATCGGTAATTCCCGGTCTCTCCCGGTCTATTTTGACCGGAATTTACTAGTGACTGGCGAATAGTACCACACGTTTATTGTCCGGTCTCTCCCGGTTTTGGAGTAGATGTTTGATATCGTTACCGAACAAAACAAATATTTTACAGATAAATAAGCTTTTTTCCAAAATGAATGTTTGTCAGTTAATTTGGTTACAATAATTAATGATATCGTTACCGAACAAAACAAATATTTTACAGATAAATAAGCTTTTTTCCAAAATGAATGTTTGTCAGTTAATTTGGTTACAATAATTAATGAACACAGATCAACTCTCAAATTTATTGATATTTATTATACATAAACATACAATTCGAAAAAAAAAAACAAAAACAACAAGAACAACAACAAAAGCATGTTTCATTTTATCTATATGAGATAAAAACAATAAATATATACAATAATTGAGAAAAAGGTACATTTTTATGGTAATAATACGACACTATCAACTTTGAAACATTTTATTCGTGGTTAGTAAAGATGCTGAGGAATTATTCAAAGTTACAAATTAGATTTTATGAATTATTCGATTGATTGATAATTTAAAAAATGATAAAGAAAAATACAAATGTACATGGTTTAAGAATATAAGAATAAACAATATTATATATTGAAAGATTAACCATTATTTACTGACTTTTTCCAGTTACTTTTTTACTTATAATCGTCGGTCAATATGACAATTGAATTCTTAAAATTTATTTTACAATTTAAATTAAAAAAGTAAGTAAACATAAAAAAGCACATAATACACAAAAAAGAAAAGAAAACAATATTCATAAAATCTGTAATTTTTTATCAAAATTAATATATATTACATTTATTGTATAATAAACAATTATGCTCAACATGATCAACATGTTAAATTATGCTCAACATGATCAACATGGTAATATAACCAGTGTCATATTTTTACTAAGTCTGAATAGATACCTTAAGAGGGGGTCTTCGCTAATATCGATAACATAATAAGGGACAATTACACAAGTGTGGTGTTGATCATGCGTTACACATATGGATTATAAATGATTGTTTACATGTATATCCGTTGCTCGCCCATATGGTCTCTTTCCAGTGGCGAGAAATAAATAACGCAAACACACAAAATCCGTTGCTATTAATAACCACGGTCATAAAGAAATAACAAGTAATACTCTAATCTCTAGCATGCCAATCAAAGTTCATAATGAACAATGTCTTTCGTCCGCTCATTCATAAGTGATATACAATTCTGGTAAAAACCATTGAAAAGTTTATAAGAATATCTTGTCATCATATGTCTACTAGTTCATCTTCACTTGCTGCATTTCTTGCTTGGACGCCCTTTGATGCTTTGCATCAATGCTTTTCTTGTACTGTTTTTATATGTATCTGAATATTTACCAAAGAAATAATAGGTACCTTATTTGTTGTAGGTAAAATGAAAGCGAGCTTCAATCTTTCCTATGCAAGCGACCGCTTAGTTTTGACTTTTGATAAGCTGTTATAACGTATGTCATAGATTGATAAGACGGTTCCCGCCAAATCAGTTTTTATAAAATTGTGTTAGCAGACGAAGTTTTGCTTCTTAAAGTGGAAGTTTTAAATTTAAGCGCATGCCGTCCTTGACATGATTGATCGGGGATTTTATTAGTTAAATTAAGTTGTAATTATTGCTCCTGTTTTTAATGTAATTCAAAACATTGGGAAGTCACAAAATCTGAGAAAATTTAGAAAAACTAAATCTGGAAAAAGCAAACTATAAAGTAAGTGACCATTGCTGCAGGTTATGTTATTAGTCATAAGACTTTTCACATTGACGGTAGAAAAGAGATCAAATCGACGGCATTGAGACCTAGGCATCAGTCTCAGAAACCGTACTTGAAAGCACAAAACATCATAAAAAAACTAGCAAAGATCTAAATTTAATTCTAAACAAAAGTTTTTAAGAGTAGGGTTTTCTTTTTTTATTGGGAAAAAAACCAATAAAAAAACATTTTTGATTTTTATTTTTGTTTTTTCATGTTTTCTTTTTTAAATGGAAAGGTTTTTAAAGGGGTATGCCCAGATTTTTGTTAACTTTGACAAACTGTCCGTTTCTAAGAAAGCCCAAAGATTAGGGGCGATTTTTTCTTAACCCCCTTTTTTCGAAAAAAGGTAAAAAAAGACTTAAATATTTGGTTCCCTGTCGCCATTATGCATTTTTGGGGGGCCATTTTCGCTTTAAGGGCGGCGGGAAACCCAAGTTTAACGTATTAAAAAACAAAAAACCAATTATCTAAAGGGGAAAAACAAACATTTTAAACTTGAAACTATTTTTTAAAAATGCATTGGGGGGTTTAGTTCATCATTTTTCCATTTAATCAGAGTTAATGCTCTTATACTTACATAAACCTTTTAATGTTACATTAATTATCGTTAATACTTAACAAATTAAGTATATACTTTTGTTTTCTATAACCACATAGATGCAGAAAAAAATATTTTTCTGTTTTTTAAAGTAAAGTTTATGATCGTCTTGATGTTTTTTAATATTCTAAAATAGAGAGTAATTAAAAAGACTCCCTAAAGAACTCACAAATTATACAGAACACTTGTTCGGGTTGAGTTCAAAAAATGGGTTTCATCTCGATTAAAAAAACTAGGTCACAATGCGCTTAAAAATTGAAAAATCTTGTTAAATTCTGGTGGCTACTGCTTTTGTCCATATATCCTGGAAATTATTCTGAAAGTTTTGTTTTGGTGTTTCTAAGGTCAATTTTTCAAATATGGGTCACCAAAGCGGGTTAAAACTCTTAGGTCATACACCAAAATACGGGACAAAAAAACCTTTATAACCTTTCTAGAATGATACTGTTTTTGAATCTTAATAACCTCTTGGATTTTTAGTCAGAAATGTTATTTTGATGCTTTCTATGAGCAAATTCAAAATTATGGGTCATCTAGGATTAAAACTAGATCCAAAGCCTCACATTACAGAAAAACCTTCGCTTAACACTTTAGAGGTTTACTGTTTTAATAAAAATTTCCATTGCCGTGAGAAATTGATAAAAAATGTTTTGTAATTAGTTGTCAATCGTTGTAGATCAAAAATTCGAATATAGGTCCATCTTATGTCGTCTAGGGGACCGCAAAGCCCTTTATTTTTGAATAACATTGTTAAACTTTCTAGGGGGTTAGTGTTCCAGTTCAGATACCTTTGAAATTGGCAGAATGGTTGTTATGATGATTTTTAGGTAAAGTTTGAGATATGGCTCCTTGGTTAAACAAAACAAGGTAACATAGCCCTAACATCGAAAAAATCCTTTTTATACTCTACATGTTACTTGTTTTTATCCTTTGAAAATTGGGTCAGAAAGTTTGGTAATGGTGATTTTATTGTCAAATTTTTAGAATAAGAGATCACTTGCGGGTTCAGAAAACTATGGTACATACCCTGTTTGTTTGTTTTTTGTTTGTTTGTTTTTAACGGCACGTCAACACCATAAAGGCCATATCGTGCCGAATGCTATTATTATGGCTTTAAACTATTATGTAAAACGATTGTAAATGATAAATAATAAAAAGCAGCCCCAATCATGCCGATCCAGCCCGTTTGAATACAAGTTTTATCTCTTTAAAAATAATTCGATGTGTTTTTTGAATGAACTGTTATTAAAGAGTTCACTAAACCCTAATATATGAAAACCTTTTTTAAATTCGAATTTTCCCGGGAAATTTGGGAGACAGGTTAATTTTTAAGATGTATAGGTCAATTTCAAATTAAAGGTCAACTTGGAACGAAAAATTTGGTCCACCCAGGCCCTTTAAAAATGGAACAAAAAACCCTTTTTCAACACTTTTAGAGGGTACTGATGTGATTCCAAATAAATTTTTGAAAAATTGGTTTTGAAGGTTGTTTTAATGATAAAATAAAAATTTAGCCTTCCCTATTCAAAGGGGACCCATTTTAAAGGGGCATCCCCTGACCCCTCTTGTTTGTATGTAATGATGTTCTTTAAACCTTTTTTCGTTTTGAAAATTTTCTTTATAAATTAAAAGAAATTTTGGGGATGGAAACACATTATTAAACAAATCTTTTTTCGTAAGTTTTCCCATTTTGCTTTTTATATAGGATAAAAAATTAATCATGTTGGTTTTTCGTTTTATTTTATTTTTCGTTCGTTTTATTTATTTTTTATTTTTTTTTTTTTTTTCGTTTTTAAGACTAGACAAATGTTACAATCTAAATTTCTTTACAATACAATTTTCAAATATTTAATAGTTGTGTGCCTTCTAAATTTGTGATACTGACTGTTATCAAATTGTTTGATTATGTATTTACAATACTTTTCTTCCCTCTTTTTAAACTAATTTGACATTTGCGTTTTTATTTCCGTAAACATTTTTGACACTTTTTAAGTTATTTTTAAAACCTTCTTTATTACAAATTTATTTTAGCTTCTCTTTCAAAATTTCCCTTAGTCAATTATGAAAATAGGCTCTTTGAAAATTCAAGGTAAAGAACCTTTTATTAAGGATTTCACATCAATATCAATCTTTTCTTTATTTTAAGGATGTTACTGCAACCCGAAACGCAATTTAATTATTGGTTTGCGCCCCGGGTAGAAATGGCCCCCTTTTAATATAGGAAATAACTGACACATGTAAAAACCCTATGAAAAAATTTTTTCCCATGTTCACTCGGGTTTTTTAAAACTGGACCCCCGCCAAAACAAAACCCCGTCCCTATCAAACCCTGGCCATCCCCTGCCCAATATGTTTTCTCAATGGAAAAGGAAAGTGTAGAAACAAATAATTTAATTTATAAAATTTGGGGGTCTTTTTGGGTTATGAAAACTGACGGCTGAAGTTTTATTACCGATTTTTAAAACCTTTTGTGAAAAACTGATGGCTGAAAATAAACCAAAAAGGGGAAAAAACTGAAAAATTTTTTTGCCCGGGTTTGGTTATCATTTTTGTGTGCTTTACCCCTTTTTTTAGTAAAAACTCTCCACCCATGAAGTTTTTCAAGTTGATTTTCCTCAAAAACGTTTTTGGAAAATAGGGTTTTTCCCCCGGAAACAAAAGGTTTTAAATTTAAAAAAAAAACCAAAAGGGCCCCCTAACTTAAAAATTTTTATTTGAAAAAGATTGTCATTTTTTGCTCCCCAAACCCTTTCCTCCCCCAAAAAAAAGATCTTCCACCCCCGGGCATTTTTATTTGACATTTTAAGCACTTTTTTAGTTTTTTGTTTCCAAAACCCGGGGGAAAAATTAATTTCGGGGGGAAAAAAAAACAAAGGGGGAAAAATCAAAACTTTGAAAAGTAAAGTTATCATTTTTGGGGGCCCCCCCTGCCCCCACATCCTGAGTGAGATCAAAAGGCCACCTTATTGGTTTCCAAAGTTAGTTTTCCCCCAAAGGGTTTTTTAGTTATTGCCCCCTGGAAAAAAAATTTAATTTTTAAAAATAAAAACCCAAGGGGGAAAATTTTAAATTTAAAAATTTGCAGGGTAGAGTTATCATTTATGTGCCAAATGCCCCTCCCAACCCCCCCCTATGAAGTTTTAAAGTTGGGTACCTCAAATAAATTTTTTGAGAAGCCCAGACAAAATAGTATAAAAAAGCAAAAATTCAAATATTGCAAGCAAATCCCTAAGTCCCTACCGGTTAGATCCCCAAAACAACCCTTTTTTTGGGTGGGGCCCAAATTTGGGCCCTTTCAAATTTTTTCCCCAAAGTGATATAAAGGGCATGAATGAACCTTTAAATCTTTTGAGTTAAAAAAATTTGGGCCCATATCACAAATTTAATTTTTTTAAGTTTCCCCCGGCCCCAGTAAGGGAAAATTTTGTTTTAATTTCAACCTTGTCTTTAAATTTCAAAGTGGGATTTTTTTTGAAATCCTAAAGGGGAAAGGAAGGGAAGGGTTTGGGGTGAAAAATTTTCCCAAATTTTTCGA